TCTCTCTCTCTCTCTGCACTGTTTGCAATGTGTATTTTTCTTTTACTGGAGCACACATTCACTCCCAAATGTGGGTCTCGAAGTTTCGAGTGCTTCTTTCTGAAATTATCGTCATTTACTGCTGTGATTTTTCTTCCCAGTTTGTGCGAAGTAGATAAACAACCGCTAGTTTCGTGCAAGCCAAAATTAAGACCGAACGGCATCTAAACATTCTTTTAATTATTTCTGCAACACATAACCTTGCCCATATAAATAAATGCCTAAGCGGATTTAAATCTATCGTTAAATGTTCGAGAAAAAAAAAAACTTATTTAAAAGGTTAAATTGAGACTTTCGACTACGAGAAAAAATTCTTATTGTGTTACTGTAATTTCTGCAAAATTAAAAAAGGAATTACTTCATCTGGGATGATAGGTCGCTTCAATGAAGTAAGAAAATATCAACTTGATTTGGTTGAAGAAATTTGTAAACCAAATCAGTATTCTGTTAGAAGTGGAGAGAGCTTAACTGATTTGTACTACTCTCTGCACATTACGTTGAAAATACGTGATAAGCGCAATATTTAGCTATATTCTAGAATTCTTTTAAATGTGACTTTTAAAATCATTTTATTTAATTTTGGAATTCTACAATTTTTCTGAGCTTCCACCAAATCGAACTGTGGAGGGAATGGCATTCCGCCCCCCCCCCCCAAAAAAAAAAGAAAAAAAAAGAAAAAAATCAGAAATATGAGATAAAAATTCGAGGAAAAAAGTGACATCCCCAGGACTTGTTACTTCGTTTGAACTAACTGTTTCTGAAGTTGCAGACTCCTTCCGGCGATTTTTGTAACACATTTTTAGGACTATTCCCGTGGTGATAACAAAAACCGGAAGCTACAAAATTGGATCTGATTTGCCTTCCGCAACAACAATGAATGCAACGAAAGAGTAGTTGGAACTCTGAGATATTTAGCACAAATGCACGATGCTTTTGATGGAAATCTTCGAATAAAAAGTTTTTAACGAGAAGGAAAGTCTGTTGTTGTTCCCTGATTTCAGCTATTAATCAGTGAGCAGAGAGAATGAATGAATTCAATAATCGCAGTGAAATCATTAAATTCATTCCCCCTATTACGGCTGAAGTCAAACAGATGGGTAGGCTATTGATGAGCGCAAAGCACATGGACCAATTGTTTCCCATCAATTATCGAACTATATTCCTGTGTCGTTAATATGAATCATCTTATTTATGCACTTTCATAAATTCGAGGCTACTTAGAGACTGCTTCTACTGCTTGCAATATTATTGATGCCTTTTATCAGATTGAACAACATTGGCCATAAAAGCAACCTAATACAAACACTTATTGCTAAAATCTAATCACTTAACAGTTTACTCCTGAAAGCATATTATTTAGCTTTTCTTCTACGTATAATGTCCAGACCAGTCCATCTTTCATCCTTCGTTTCCCGCCTTGCTGAAGTAACTAGACTAATGGCCTCAATGTCTTTCAAGGATAAGAATCATCCCGCTCCTTCAACTGTTCCTGTAGTGGAACAGCCGCAATAAGACCTCCGCGTTCACTGATTTGCATAGAAAGGTAAGAAGGATGAAACATTTATCCACTCCCTCTTTTAATAAAAGTTCTCCCGAAGCTGAATTTCCAATTGGTAGTATTCAATCGCTATGGATTAATCTTGGACTAATGAGTGGACAGCCCGATCCAACCCACTCCGGATGCCACCAATCAATTACTCCCTCAGCTGATTGAGTACACAACCGCCTGTCCACTCATCAACTGACTCACTTTATTCACTGTCTGTATGTGTGTAGCCACTATTATCGATTCATTAGTAGGTCTGTGTAGAGTATGTATGCGTGTGTATGTATGTATGTGTCTGTGTATGTATAGGTCGCATTACCACACATCGTACCGGTGTGACTGTTGTCTGTTTAGCATTGGAAGGTTAGGAGATCTTCCATCGTTATATTGCCTCGTCTAGTCGTTCATTGGCCGGTGGAATGAGTAATCGTAGCGTTGTGTCACGGATGACCCTCATCGATCGAACCATCCTTGAACTGATTCCGCACCGGATCGCAGTTTTCCCTAAACGTCTCGATCCTCGTCTCATCCGCTTTCGGACGTTTAACGTGCAACTGGAAATCCTATTTTGAATATAACCTAAAATTTTTGTTTTGTTTGGAAGTTACATTATTGATGCTAAGTAAATGAAAGATTTGTTACATAACCTGTCGTTCTCATATTAGCTGTCATTGCAGAAAGTGAAGAGCATTGTAGATTTACAAACCTTTTTATGCAAATTCCGGTGTAAGTTTTCCTCGGAATTTCAGTTTTGGTGCTGAAATAGTTGAACAAGGTGTGAGTGACTGAGAATAATATTTCCATTTCAATTCATTCTCTCCCATCTGTCTCGACGAAATCGCTTGCTTTTCTTGAAGTGTTCCATCATTTAAGGCCGTGATTTTGTCAGAAATATTTTCGTCCTCTCATAAGCAGTCATTTTCTACTTGGATCGCTTGATTAATTTGTTGGACTTGAATTTTCTATGGCCATTGATAATGTTAAGAACATGTCACTATAATTTGGGGATTTTCTATAGCGTCAAATGTTGTGCGCTTAAGGCCATTCAAATTCATTACAATTTAACTATTGGATGCGTGACGGATAAAGCTGGAATACGTGGAGAACTCTTCAGCTCCATCTTTATCGCGTGTGCCGAATCCATTCGACTGAGTTTGGATGGAAGTTTTGCACAAGCTCCCCCGCCCCTCCTCATTACCGAGTGATGGTATTCCTGAAAGACTTTGAAGAGCGTCATGTAACAATATATTCTTGCTGATGTTGATTAAATATTAAAGATTTGAAAAAGAGGTTTTATAGTTAGTTTATGTTCTGGTTATTTCTGTAAAGCTTGTAATCAGTGCAACCAAGGATGATTTATTATATGATTTTCATATTGTGTTACATGTTAAAATAGTGTTCAATTTCTAGCCAGAAATTTTCGGCGAAGAATGGACAGATGATACGTGTTTTACATTGCAAACATAACTCGATAGAACCTTTCGTCTTCATTGCTGCTATGCCGTGCGATGTTTAATATTATTTGGTAGTAAAAATACATTCATTTCTTTCGATAATTTTTCGACCAGTGGTTGGAGAAACGATCTAATTTGACTTTAGGAAGTTTGTTTCGAGCTTCCTTGTTTTTTGGAAACTTATGTTTCTCTTGTTTTTTGTTTCTGTTTTTTACTGCAAGGTTGGGTGTTTTATGGTGGCTATAATGTACATAGTTCTAAACGACGAGTATTTAGATGCTGTATCAGTTTCAGCGGACATTCACACCAGATTTTTTTTTTTTCAGAATGGAATGAAATGCTGAGTGGAAATTACATTAACTAAAATGCCATCATGCTACTTAATTATCATATCCGTTTGCGTTCCTTCATAACTCAGAAGTTCGATGACAAGCTTTTCATCTGGCTTTTCAGACCAACATTCATAGTTCCCTTTGCGTGTGCTAATTGCTTCTTTAGCTACGAATGTTTCCAAAGCTGTATGTGATGCAGCCTGAAAATTCAGTTAGCGTGCGCATGCAACAGAGATGAAAACACTTCCTTAAATTCACTATTGCAAAATGAAAAAAAAACAATGTTCCGAAATTGTTAGCGATTCCGCTCCTAGTTGAGATGTATTTATTGCTAAAAAACTTTGAACGTAGTAAAATATGGTGCAAACTAAGCTACACCTTCATGATGCCATTTGCTTTAAAAGCTCTATCACATCTTTAGTTTGCTTGTTTTATGTCATTAGCAGTTCTTTTGTTCCTTAATTATGGCTCATTATATAGCTAAATCGAGACTCAAATCGGAAGTTAGTGAAAGCTGTCTAGTGTCGCTCAAATTTGGTTAACAGATGTCGTTTCTTCCTAATCTTCCCTACAAAGCATGTTTATCAGGATTTCCTCTTCTCTCAGCACTTCATCTTTTCGTAATTATTACTTTCAGTCACATTTCTTTTCTCATCTGGGTATATACATTTCTGGCAATTTATTCTTCCATCAACACAGAATTCGTCATTGCTCCAGATTCATTATATTTAGAGGGAGAAAATGAGTTGCAGCAAAGGCACAAAAACTAGCTATAGTAACGGCGAAGCTTTTTTGAGGACGTGATATAGGGATATTGGATCGGACTCTAATATATTTTAACTCTAAAAAATAGGTCTTTCAACTGTTACTGTACTGCTGTATTAATGGGCTTTTCTTTAACTCTAGAGTTATAATTACAAACTTTCGAAATTAATGGAACTTTTTAATTGTTCAACACAGTAGCGCACATTGAACTTACGTTAAACTCATTATATATTAAATAAAGCATTCCTCCTAATTTGCTTACTGACAAGGTTTTTGATTTTTAGAATCATTTGATTTTCAATCAGCAGTATTTAATCATGCAGAAAAGCTTCCTTAGTTATTGACCAACTTCTATTCAGATAGCTCTGTCTTTAGTGATAGCTTTGTTGAGTGTACTTGGATACAAAAAAGTAATACTTTTTATTGCAATTCTGAAATGTTGGCAAAGCCCATGAACTCAAACTACATCACTTTTTGTCGAAAGTTAACGCTCATTGCCATGTTTAGATCCCTAACTATAAGTACTTTAAGTAAATTTCTAATTTTAAGGGTACAGAGTAATTCAGTTGTAAGCTTAAATTAACATTTAAAGAATTTATTCAGACAATGGCAATGTTTAGTCGAATGATTGATGAACTTACGGAAACATGAATGCTTGATTAAAATGCATGTTGAAATGATGTTAAAAAAGGTGGGTGATGCATCGTGCAATGTTCCCTATAATAGATAAATGACTCCATTACAACAATTACGTGCTGTTTGTCTTCCTTCATAATAAATTCATCGATATCGATTTCAAAGGATTTCATTCTGCGGTAATCTTTCTGATTGAGAATGCATTATAATCAGCGGTTGAAGTGGTGTTTAAACTCGTGGTGAGAATTTAAATGTTTTATTAACCCATGGAGATTTGATTTCATAACAAACAAATCATGTGGTAACTATTGATTGAAGAATATGAAACCTCTGGGTCTTGAATAATATGTTTAATCTATGTTGATTTAATAGGAAAAGGTAGGGAGCTTATCTCAAAGATTCAGTTTCCTAGTTTTGCTGTTGAAACATTGTCCAGTGTTTCGTCCAATTTCTTTTTTTCTTTTGAAACATTAACAGCAACATCTTATTGTTCGTATCTCATTATTAATTAATAACGTCGCTTGCGTTTAGTATGATGAATAGTATTTTTTTTTTTGTATTGTTTCAACTTATTCTTAGGCATCAAACGAAGGGAGTGGAAATCAGCATTCAGCGGAAAGCCGAGGAATTTGGGCGAGACATTAGACAGTCGTCATCATTCGGGAATTATTTGCCTAGTTGCTTTGATTTTGATATGAAATGAAGTGTAACAGTAGATGTGATGCGCCATCAGTTATTGCAATACATTTTGCACCTTCCTCATCTGATACAGATCTTCCGCAAGCTGATTCGCCTCCTTGCCATATCGTTGCTTCTCCAACTGGTAATCAACAGTATCGCTTTTGTAAGCGCCAACCCATCTTCAGAAGACGTTGTTGCCGAGTTTATCAGTCCAAATGCTCATAGCGAAAATCTTCCGTTCGAAAAAATGGTTTGTTCTCATACTCTTTTCCAGAATCTTCGCAAAAGTACCAGCTATTTTGGTAAATCGCGGAAGTTATGGTTTAAGTAGGATGTTCCACTCATCAGTTTGTTTATCGTATTAGATGCAAATCTTTTGAAGCATATGAGCTGACTCCAGTAAAATTTGATATGAATATTTCAAACCAAGTCATTAACAAAATTATTTACATTAAATTGACAGCTTATTCTGATAAATAGTAAAATTCTTCCTTATCTTAATAGATATAATGCAGGTTATGATAGTTTGGAAAAGAGACATAAATTTTTGAATTAATTTAAATAATATATATTGTTGGATAAAGACGAACAAACAAAGTTCACATTTGTAACTTTGTTTAGTAAAGAGATGTGTTTCGATTTCTATAGTCAGGAAAGAAGAATGAGAAATACGTGGTAACTTTCAATATCATAAAAGTTAATTGTAGCATATTCGATGGAGTAACTTTTGTTAAATAATGAAACAACATCCTGTTTATGAATAACAGAACAGTTTTAAGCTAGTTGTAAAAGCTCTTGGTCGTCTCCTCGCTTGAATTAGGTTTGTCTCTTTATAACTGACTTGTTTAGATCTAAATCTAGATTTTTTTCGGTGTTTGTATTTTTTTCTCGACCTTTTCATTCTTAATGAATCCTCACAAGAAGCTATTTTGGAAAAAATGATTTGATGGAAGGGGGTAATCGCTAATTTTATCGTGTTTAAACAGACAAAGTCATCAGTTGAGGAGAAAACCAGAGTTTCTTCTAAAACAGCATTTTTGGCTAAAAGTCATTGCACATGTAAAATTTTAGGTTATCGATCCATCCACAGGTCGTTTGTATGTTGGTGGAGTGAACAACCTGTACGATTTAAACCATCCTGATCTTAGTGTTAAAGTACACGCTTCAACTGGCCCAGAAGAAGACTCTGTTGAATGTCCAAGTATATTTTCGTGTTTAATGTGCAATACAAGTTGATCAGACGGTTGAGAGACAGCACAAGTTATTAACTACCATTTTGGAAATGATTTGCTACTTTAGATTAGAAGAAATTTCGAAAAAATAGTCGGTATAATCAAAATAGAGATACAGTTACATGTATTTTATGAAAGATGGAAAACTTTGGTAAGTAATAACCTTTGTTTTCTGCTGTTGATCGTCCATCTCCTATGGTATGTAAGGCGTAGGTATACTAGAATCGTTGTTGGACTATGGACAGTGATTTATTGTAATAACGGGAAACATTATAGGATCTCATAGATCAGTTGTAGGTCCACAGCTTCCTACCAAAGTTCTTCCAGTGCTGGCAAATTATCAAATTGTTGTAGAAGCATATCACAGATGGAAGTTGTTTTTTTCAAGTCTAATTTTTGTTTGTAATGAATAAGTAGATTAAAGTCAACTCATATATATATATATATATATATATATATATATATATATATA